TCCCAACCTTCCTAATGCCGTGACCCTTTAATGCAGTTCCTCATAATGTGGAGACCCGGTCAACCATAAAATTATTTTTGTTGCTACTTCATAACTGTAATTTTGCTACTGTTATGAATCGGGCGACCCCTGTGAAAGGCCATTTGACACCGCCCCCCCCCCCAAGAGGGGTCATGACCAACAGGTAGAGAACCACTGATTTACAGCAGTGATTAGAACTCTTAGTAAAAGTCAGTAAAATATGAGACAAGGCACTTCCTCTTAAAAATTGAAGCCTTGAAACTATGATAAACTTGTTTTACGAATAGGTGTCATGCTATATTTTATATGGCTAAGCAGCTTTTTAAACTTTAAACCATTATAAAGGTGTTCAACACTTCTGAGATGATCCTTCTGAGACTGTCAATATCATATGTGTAACTTATAAGTTAACTGCATAAAATATGTATCTTTCATTCTTTTTAAAATATATTTATATCTTTTTATATATGTATGCATCTACTCTGGGACTTCAATTAGTCTTCTTGCCAAGTGTTAACCCTGAGTGAGGCATACTACTCTTGTTAATGCAAAGCCTTCGAGAATAAATCTCAGTTGACAACTCTGAGGATGCAATGCTATAATTCTCACTCTGATCTCTAACAAGATTTCGCTGTGCAAGTTTCCGGAGGACCTTCTGAATCACAGAGTTGATGTAGCATTTCCTATAAGCCAACTAGGAACAGAAGAGGATCACTGGACATTTAGGTGAGGTTAATTATATTGAGAAAATACAGTGCTTTATTAAAGTACCTGTGAAAATTAAGTTCATTCAAAATTTTGTGAGTTCAATGGAAAAAATGAAGTCAATAAAAATTTCCTGAGGAACTCTAACTGATATGTGAAAATAGGAGACCTCAATTAAAATAGCATCGCGTACTAATGAAACTACCACTATTAATAAGACAATGCATGCATTATGCTTACTGAATTCCAGGCGCTATTCAGAGTGCTTTTACGTAGGGAATGTTGTTCAATGTCCACATTAAAGCCCACATTCTCAGTATCCACATTTGACAGGTGAGGGTTCTAAATTTCATAAGTAAGACACATGTCAAAGGAGCATAGCTAGTTAGTGTTTGTCTCATATATTCTGGCACCAGAATTTTAAAGATAATATGACATTGTTTCTTAAAAGTATATCATCCACAGTCCCGTTTCTTTGAAACACAAATTTAAAACAAAGATTCAGCTAACAGAGATACATTTGTTTAATGGATATTTAATTATACATAGAGCAGTAATTGGACCTATTTCATTGTGGACCATTGATACAAATTTTAAATAGAAATTGAAAATGTATCAACTTGGCTCTTAAGTATAGGTTTATGTTATCATGGGCTCTGGTTCCAAATTTACTGACTTTGAATTGTATCCCTTTTTCACTAAATAGTACAAACTAAGTTTCTCAGTAATTATTATATTTACCTCTATGGCCTTTAGGAGTATTAAATAGAGACATAGATACAAAATGGTGCAACATCTAGTCCGCAATAGGAAGTCTACTAAATTTATTTTCTTATAAAGTATTTCAGAACACTTGCTCAACTTCTCCTATTGAATTATTGGCAAAATAGCACCCGAGAATGCATATCTTGACTCATAGTTCAATGAGTACTCTGTAATATCACATTTAGTTCTTCACAGCTTCATTTTTTTCTACTTATTTTTAACTCGAGTTGAGTTTACCATGATATTTATCTACAGAACTGTAAGTATTGTGACATCCATCAGTGAATAATTCTTTATTATATTTTCCACCTTATTTCTACTGATGCAAATGTAAACTAATATAGCATATACTTAGAGAATCAAAGGGAAAATAGATAATATTAACAATGAATGTACTTTTGCAATTATCTATTTCAAGATCTCTGTCTCATATATTAGAATCTACAAGTGAGATAAATGTATGCGACCATTACTGCATTTACAAAACTCAATGTCTGCTTGTCAGAATTGGACTCTAGGCCTGATGACTTACAACTTTTTAGCACTCCATTCTATTTCTCTATAAGGCAGAGTTCCAATGAGTAAAGAGAATGTTTTTCATTGAAAGGTCATTATATATTTTAAAGAAAATCTATATTAAAGCATAACATGGCTTAATTACTGTCAATGTGGGGACCAAGAATATAGGCCCTAGAGACTGGCAGAAAATCTAGCCACTTAGTGGTGAGATACCTCTTAATACTCCCCTGTAAAACTTTCTGATCTTATCATGTTTTATGTGGCCCTTTTGTTAATGTAAAATAAAACAGAGCCGATTTTGGAGAGCTTTTTTGTTCATTTTTTAGAATGAATAGCCTATAATAACTGTTCATAAATGTTAATTGTTTTTAATTTGATTTTTGATCGTTTATTTTCCACATAAATCTGTTACAGTGAAATCATAAACATTACATTTTAGAAAGCACACAGTATTTGTGAATTACTTGTCAATAAAACTGTTAAACCATTAGAAAGAAAGATATAAAGCATTCAAATATTTTGAATCTAAGCCTATTAAATTTGGTGATATGCAACTTATTTATGTATTTAATTACATGACAAAAATTTATTCTTCATATTTTTTTCTGTGGTCTTGGAGGGGATTCTTTTCTCATATGAGATTCTGAGAAGTAATTGTCCTTGTGAAACAAAAACATTTGTTGACTAATTTACTGAAAAGCATATTTAAGTTTTCTTTTCCTATTTCTCCTTCCAAGAGAAACTTGGTGGCACTCGATGATAGAGTGAATAAAATACCTTGATTATTATATTCAGGCATATTTAATATTACCAGACACATTTGTAGTAATTTTAAAGCAGGAACTACTATTTTACATAAAGTTACTTGTTTGCCTCCATTTAATATTAGACTAGGCTTAGTGGTCCAAGTGGCAAAGCAGTTGGTTGCTAACTGAAAGGCTGATGCTGTGGCTTAACCTACAGCTGACTCGCAAGAAAGAGTGGGCCACCAGCTTCCAAAATATCAGTCGTTGGAAACCCCGGGACACTGAATTCTCCTCTGCACACATGGTGTCCCCAAGAGTTATCATCAATGTGACGGCAAGTAATGCTGCTTGAATTTTAGAATTGCTTTGTGTTTGGTTTTAAAGGTAATATTTAGACTAGAGAGTTATACTATGCTCATTACAAAATATAGGTACAATCAAACAAATTCAGGATGAAATATAAATGACTATCATTTGTTATATTTATTTCAGTCTTTATTCTCAACCAAGTTGTAATCTAGTTGTTCAAATTAGAATAAACCAGACCAAACTCATGAGTAGATGGCAACTCACAGTGCCCCTATAGGACAGGGTAAAATGCACCCAGGGACTTTCTGAGAGTGTAGCTCTTTAAGGGAGGAGAAAGCCCGTCTTTTCTTGGCAGAGTGGTTGGTAATTTTTAACTGCTGACTTGAGATTAGAAGCTCCACAAGTAGCCACTACGCCTCCTTCAAGGTGGAATGGTAAAGTCAATATTAGTCTTTCAATCTTGGAAACTGGAACTTCTATAGAAACCAACAATTGAAAATACCCTTTCATTTATATTTAGAAGTAATCTGAAGAAAGTGAAAAGTTTAAAAAATCATGAAAGTATAAAATGATTTTAGTTTTATGAAATGCTAAAGATCTGGAGATAAGGTCTGTTTTAGTGGAATAAATTGTAACAGAATAAGGGTAGAATTTATTAGAAAATAGAGTCAGTTCACCTTAATTTAACTTTAATCTATGTAAAATGTCATGTTCTATGCTATTTACTTAACCTTATATATTGGTCAGACTCAACTTGATGGCTGATATGTCTTTCATTTTGTACAGAAGTTCAGTAAATCTACAAATAACAAATACACAAATACATACACATACATTTTGAATAGTGTTATGCATATTTTATGTTTTTTTCTTTTCTTTAATTTTTATCACAGACTTTTTATTTGAGAGTTGTATGCTTCGATAGCCTAGTCATATCATTACATTAATGTTAAGGATATTTTTCTTAAAAACTGCTCCAAGTGGTATTTTACTTGCCACAGATGAAATCCACGTCCTGCAACTGCCTTCCTTCTTTTTTATAGCTCAAGCAATCCTAAAGAATGCTGCACAAATATGTTGTGCTTACTTTATAATGCTTAAACCACTAAATGTGTAGTGACTTGTTACAGCCTCATAGGAAGATCTTACACACAATGTGAGAAAACATTGAGAATGAGTAGACTGTAAAGCCACTGTTCCAATTCCCTTACTAATCCATCCGATAAAAAATAAACAAAGAAACAAAACCCAAACCAGGTCCATGGAATCAATTTCGCCTTACAGTTGCACCACAGGACGGCTAGAACTGTTCCAGAGAAACTCCAAGGCTGTCGTCTTTAGGGGTGCAAGCAGTCACATCTGTCTCCTACAGAGCAACTTCTGGGTTCAAACGGATCATTTGGGTCGAAGCCTCATGCTTTAGCCACTGTGTGACCAAGTCTCTTTCCCAGATAGATTAGAATTTTTATAATGCCAAAATTACACAATAGCTATGCATCAGGTGCTCTCATGCCTCTGATTTAGAGATTTAGCTAAAATTTTCAAACAAAAACACGAAGTGAAAATGTGACTTGAAGTAGACAATAAAAGTTTCAGTTTTTATATTTTATCAGTGAGCTTAGAGTTAAAACATACACTGATATACTTATAAAGATTATTTTTGCATGAATACTTATTTATTTCTGATTTGCTTCCTGTAGCATAAATGTTATCAATGCCCAGCATATGGATGGATCGGACCCAGACATTCTCTCCGGGATCATACAGGGGATATCAAACTTTCTTCACCGCCTTTAAGCATTAAATAATATTCATTGACAATATATTTCCTCCCTCTATTTCTAGCATCCTTTTCTTTTCTTGTTGTCCTCTTCACTTCCTCTCCCTCACTCCCTCTTTTCCTTTCTTCGCTCTCATTTTGGCTGTTCTTAAACTATGGTGAATTTCACAACTGCCTCCACATTTATTCTACTTGGATTTGCAGGGGGCCCAGGGATCCAGACCACGCTGCTTCTGATCTTTCTGATCTTATATGCTTTAGCTGTGGTTGGGAACTTTGGCATGATTTTAATTATCTGGGCTGACTCTCACCTCCACACACCAATGTATGCCTTCCTTCAAAGTCTTTCATTTTTGGATATCTGCTATTCTTCCACGATTGCACCGAGGGCTCTAGTGAACTTCCTGCAAGAAGACCACACTGTCTCCTTTGGTGGGTGTGCTGCTCAGTTTTTCTTCCTCTCTCTTTTTGGTACCACAGAAGCCTTCCTCCTGGCTGCGATGGCTTATGATCGCTTTATGGCGATCTGCAGGCCTCTGCTGTACTCTGCGAGTATGTCTCATGAGGTCTGCATATGCTTAGTGGGAGGCTCCTACTTGTGGGGTGTAGTGAATGCTGTCACTCAAACAACAATGACATTCAGACTGCCTTTCTGTGGGTCCCATGAGATCAATGACTTTTTCTGTGATGTACCCCCACTCTTGGCCCTTTCATGCTCAGAAACATTTATAAACCAATTGGTACTTCTTGGCTTATGTGGCTCCATTATTGTCAGTACATTCTCAGTTGTCTTTGTCTCCTACCTCTACATCTTAGCGGCCATCCTGAGGATCCGAACTGTACAAGGACGTCACAAAGCTTTCTCCACTTGTGCGTCACACCTGGCGGGGGTGTGCTTGTTCTTTGGCACTGTATTCTTCATGTATGCACAACCTAGTGCAATGTCTTCCATGGAGCAGAGTAAAGTAGTGTCCATCTTTTACACGATTGTCATCCCAATGTTGAATCCCCTGATTTACAGCCTGAGGAACAAAGATGTCAAGCAAGCTCTGAGGAGAAGCAGACAGAAGTTCTCTTTGTAATAGTTGTGGCTATAGGTCTCATCAATCATCCTGAACTTCTCTGAAAATTACTGCGGTAGAATATATTTTTAGAATCTGCCTTTCATGAGATTTTTAGTTAAAATATTGAAATTATTTATCTAGAAGATAATGTATTCTAAGTTTGCTTTTATGTCATTAACGAACATAAATTTAGAACTTCTGCTGAGTAGTGTTGTAGAATGAAAATATAGTTGATCAAATGAATAAAAATAACAATACTCATTCAAAATTTGAGCAGTATGTCAAATTCCCACCATCATTTTGTGAGTTTAACCTCCCATGTCATCATTGGTGGTTCTTTCCATCATTAAGTTTTGAAATGATCTATTTTAATCATTCTTCATAAGAATGTAGGGTATCTCATTGTTTTAAGTCACATTTGATAATGCTTAAATATTTTGAACGTATTTTTGTATGTTTTTCATCTGTACTTATTTGTTTAGTAAAGTCTGCTCAAATTATTTGTTCATTACTTTTCACTGCATTGTTAATATTCTTCCTAGTCAGATTTGAAAGTACTTTGTGTGCTCTTTGTACCTCTTATGCAATTTGTGATATGTAAATATGTTCTCCTAGGCTGGGGCTTATCTTTAATTGGATTTTAAAATTAATTTATAGATAAAATTTATGTTTAATTAAACCCAATATATTAATTTATTAACTTATAAGGCATTTCCTATGCTCTGATCTACTTTTTCTCCTACAAGATTTAAAGTTTTAAGTATAAATTAGTATGGTAGGCAAATATTCCAAAATATGTAATACATTAAGAAGGCAATGACCACAGATTTGACATTTGAAGAAATGACATGATCATTATTTCTGAAAGTAAAGAAGACTTGAAGCACTTACTGACAAAGATCAAAGGTTGCACCATTCAGTACAGACTCCACATAACCAGACCAGTAAGAAACATCATGATAAACAATGAAAATATTGAGGTTTAGAATTTGGTTTTACTTGGATTTATAATCAACACTCAAAAAGCAGTCAAGAAAACAAGAAAATATGCTTCTAAATAACCTTATTTTTTTTAATTTTTAACTGTTTTATTGGCATTTAATTTGCATAGTTTCTAAAGCTTCCCCCCGGGCCACCCCACTATCATGATCCAAATTCTACCTTACAAATTTGGCTAGATCAGAGCATGTACACTGGTATAGATCAGCGCTGGAAACACAGGGAATCCAGCTCAGATGATCCCTTCAGGACCAGTGGAAAGGGGGAACCGATCACAAGGATCTACATATAACTTCGTCCCTGGGGGATGGACAACAGAAAAGTGGGTGAAGGGAGATGTCGGGCAGTGTAAGATATGACAACATAATAATTTATAAATTATCAAGGGTTTATGAGGGAGGGGGACC